AGGGGTGTTTACAACAAAACAGTCCGGATTCCTGAGGACATTTTCTCTTCCAGATGCTTTCTAAATATAGCGCACGGCAACCCACTACCTAGCACAGCATCCTCGCTTCTGCACTTAGGGAATTTCGAAGTCAAGCAGAAGAGGGAAAAAAAAAAGGAGGGAGGCAAAGACAAGACAATCTTAAGGGGGGGGGGGGGGGGGGAAGAAGTTAAAAAGAGCATCTAGTATTTAAAATCCACGTCTGCGTTAAGGTCATTCGAACAGTGATAAAGGCCGTCTATTCGTATTTTAAAGCGGCTGTCTTTTCCACGGGGACAGTTGTTTGCCTCCTGACCCATGGACAGCCTATTAATACAATTTAATTCTGCAGTTGCTTCTGTTTAAAGAGTGTTTGGGGCGAATTGTTTCTTTTGTTTATGATCAAGCAAACGAGCTCTGGTAATCTTATGTTTTATCTCCCTAACATATGGAAAAGCTATTTATCCCAGCCAATCACAATAAAGCGAAGAAAACCCCATTTTATGGAAAGGTATATATCACAAGTTTGTTCATCATTAAAGATATGATTACCAGTGAAAACCCTCCGAAAGTGGCACATTTATGATTCCGGGAACAGATGGGGACATCCATTTTCCTTGCAAATACTTTTGAAATTGCTCTACTGGTAGCAGTATAAAAATGATATACAGATGCCAGTGCCAACGAAGCCGGGACAAGAGGTCCAGATTTACACAGTAAAAGCTTCACATGCGCTCTGTCAGCTTTGATTGATCTGTGCTATACCTCAGAAACTTGTTGACTGGGAAAGGAAACAGGGCAAATAATTCACCGCAACAAGGCAGATAATTCACCCGGCCAACCGCTCCGTGCCGCTTCCCCGGGCGGTGACATACGAGTCCTCATGCCGCACAAAGAAGCATCATTCTCCGGCGTGAGCAGCGGCCGGTGTCACAGGGAAAGAAGGGGAGAAGAAAAAGGGGGAGGAAAAGAGAGAGGGAGAGGTGGGAGCAGCTCACACAAAAGGAGAGGCGAGAAAGGAGAAGTTGCTCCGGGGCAACGGGCACAGCCCATCTACCTTTTCCGCGCGGAGCCCAGGCCGGGCCATTGAGCCGCAATTGTCATTATCATATTGATTAAGTTCATCAGAGAGCAATTTTAGGTTTAACGCCAGCAGACTGGGAGAGGGAGCAAAGAATTATCTAAGAAAAGCACAACATTCTTACCGCAGGGACGTTTCCCTGTTCCAGTTCATTGAGGGAGTTGATTAAGTTTAAATGAAGCAGACACTGGATAAAAGTAAGGGTATTGACCACTGGGCAGCGCGGCCCGCGCTTGAAAAGGCCTGATACATGCAGAAAAGCAAGATTTGCTAAATGCTCTAATCTTCAATCAAATCTTACATCAATACAGACAAAGTTTGGTAATGAGAGATTCAATGAAGCATGCGGGAGAAAGAATTAATCCTCTTGGTCTAAACTGGGTTCAACTTTGAAGCCTGCTCCGAAGGAAAGACAGTTATCTAAATGCTAAATAAGAAACTTATTGTACTTTTCATGGCATGCTAATCTTTTGTCTATTTCATCTCTATTATTTGTATGCTCATAGGCGGCAGTTGTCATGGTGATTATATCAAACCACTTCTGTGCAGATGCCTGCGAGGAACCAGGGCCTCCCTCCAGCCCTCCGCCGGGGCCAGCCCGGCCCTTCCCTCCCTTCCGCGCCAGAGCTCCGCACCCGCGCACCGCCCAGCCGCTCGGCCGGGGCTGAAATCGGCTCCCCTGCTCCGGCAGCGTTTGGACGGCACCGGCACCCTTCTCTTTCCCCCCCCCCATCACCGAAACCGGCGCACCATGAAGAGATGCTTTTTTTTTCTCCCTCCCTTCTTTCTCTCTCTCTTTTTTTTTTTTTCTTGCGAGCTTCCCTTGATAAGCTTTTGATGTCACAAATCAAACACTCGCCAAGAGGTAGATAATGGGGAGTGTGATCTCCTCTATTTGTACATAGACAGCGTTTTTGCATCGTCGCTGCCTTGAACCGGTGTCAAACTCCCCGGGCTTTGCTGGACTCTGCCCATTGCCCCCGGCCCGGGGAGCCCAGCATCGAAATGGGAGTGGGGGAGTGGGACCCCCAGGCAGCCGCCGCTCCCCCGGGCTCGGGCAGCCCCTGAGAAGGGGAATTAAGATTCATGATATGCAAATGCCGAGGTGAGCTCAGACATCTGATTGCGACAGGTTTGGAGGGAAAGAAGAAAGCGGGATGGGGAGAGGAAGAGCCCAGTGGTGATCATTTATATATTTACTAACTTACTTACTCTTAACGGCACGTCGTTAACACTTGCAGGCAGCCACCGGTAGCAAGCACCGGGCTCTGGCCCACGGGCAGCGCTGAAGGGCAGGCTGGGGGTGGGGGGGAAGCGGCAGCCCCAGTACCCCGCGGCTCAACAGAGCTATCGGGATGAGGGCTGTAAATCCGCACGCTGTCCATCAGACATCCTAATTTCTCCCCCTGTGGTACCCGGGGGTTTTGGCACAGCTCCGGCGGCGAGGCAGGCGGCACAAATAGATGGGTGCGGGAAAGAAGGGGCCTTCCCCAGGCTTGTTCCTGCGACATCATAATCTGAGCGCACAAGGGTGGCACCCGGGCTTTTATGTCTTTTACAAAAGTTGCCAAATTAAGGCCGGATTAGGGCTCCCTTCAGGATTTGTGGGCTCTTTAGAGGCTGGGAGCTGTCCATATAGCCCGCCAGTGCTTATGAAAAGCTTAAAAAGTAATAAAAGGGGGAGTGATCCCGAGAGAAAGTAACATGTATAACTCTTATTAAAGGAGCAGCGAGCGGGGCTGTGAACTTGAATAACTGTTTGAACTTTAATTTGTTCATTAACAGGATTTGCCCCTGACTGTGAATGTTATTACTTCTCTTAAAAGAGAGGTGCAAATGCAAAGCCATAATGAAAGAGCCTGGCAAAAAGTTAAACGCCTCGTAATTACACCAGCCTCATTGAAAACTTGAGGTAATAGAAACATGAGGAAGACGGGAGCCGGGCTGATGGGCTTCCAGCTCCCCAGCCTCGGGCAGAGTGGCCAGATCCGGGCCTCGGCTCCCATCCTTGGGCACTCCCGACAGCTCGCTACAGTCCAGTATCAAACGGGGGTGCTTAACAAGTTTTAAACACCTTTACAGCATAAAAAAAAAAAAAAAGGCGGGGGGGGGGGGGAAGGAATCCATGTTTTCCTGAGTGGGGGAAGCCTGGTTTATCTTCCAAGTGTTGTAAGTGAAACACGGCTTCTGAAGCCTGATCTAATCTGCGTGTTTGTATCCTAAACAGGGCACATTAGCTCCTCTCTCCCCATCACACCGACAGTACATAAAACTCTGGAGAACCGGAATAAAACAAACTACTGCTCCTCTCAGAAGGTATATGACTTTGTACCGATGCGTTTGCCAGTTAGCTCCGCGCTGCCTGCCGTTTCATCTGTCACTTATCCCTTTCCCGGGCTTGTCAACTGCGGCTTTTATAGATTCGCTTGTGATCTGCATCCTTCCTCAACAGGAACATGCAGCCAGGTCGCAATTAAATATACAGATACACGAGCTGTTAGCAAGGCTTCACCCTCCCATCCGGAGCGATGATTGCCCTGTCACTTCTTCTTTAGACTTAAAACACCTTAAAACTCTCCGCTGGAGTGCAGCATTTGTGAGTCGGGCGCTTGCTTTTGTCCGCCTTCCTCTTCCCAACGACGGCTTCTTTGAGGTATTAGCTCCAGCGGCTCTTTCTCTCCCTGGGGTCCTGAGCCCGCACCGCCCCACAGCCCTCCCCGGGGTCGGCCGGGCTCAGTAACTCACCGGGTATGCAGGGCAAGGCCCGAAGCCCGCCAGTGCAGCGGCATCACCTCCCGACTGCAATTCCCAGTGCAGGGGGGAACGGAGGCACCGCATTGAGCCGGGTCCTGCAGCCCTGTGTCAGAGCAGAGGAAAAGCAAGAAAGGGCTTCGTAAAAAGCGGGAATGAAAACCTCTCTACTGGTTTCAAATGCTTTCCTGCTCCTACAGCGGCATGCACATTGGGGAAGTTATGTTATCCTAACACTACCAACTCGAAATGTTTCAGTTCCACCACTACAAATAAAGATATGACCCATTTTCTAGGTCTAGTGATTTTCTTTTTATTTTCTTTTCAGCATCATTAAACTCATTAGAAAACAAACAAACAAGTGTCTCCTCCTCCCTCCCCCCTTTAATCCAATTGGTATTCAGGGGGAAAAAAAACAACATGTTACTCACAAAGTAATTACATTTCTTCAACCCTACTCGTCCGTTCCAGCGTGGCCAGTGTCAGCACTGTCACCCCAGGGAAGACCTGCAAAACTAGCAAGACCCAGCTACTACCTGAGAAGCAATGAAAGCAGCCTGGCCTTGGCCAAGAGGACATCAGGTAGGAAGGAGATAGCACTTTCTGTACATTAACTTATCAGAATCGTTGTTCTAACCCGGAACTGTAAAGAAGCTTCATAAAATTACCAAGTCCCAAGACAGCAGATCTTAGACAGAACACACCTTCCTCTGCAGCCAGAGATGAAGCACAGGGGGAGCAAGTTTCCTGCAAGGTACAGGACAAACATGGCTACATTTGGTGCCACATCAGGTGCCCTTTGGCTCCATCTCACAAAAACTCTGCCCACAGCAACAGGATGGTTATCTTTAACAGTGTCCCTGAAAGCAGAGTCCCAGCCTTCCCGCCAAGCAGAAACAGCGTTCTGGCAAGTGCTGCCATGTAAGAGTGAACCCAAGCTACAATGTGGTTAGTTAAGACACAAAAGTGTCCTGAGAACATGATCCTTACCATGGTCTTGGTCATCTAATGACCACACACCAGTCCAGGCTGTTCTGCTTACATAGCTGTGCTGTGACAGTGCTTGCAGGATCAGGGCAGGAACTACTAACTAGGTTGTCAGTTTCCCTCCATCTAACCCCTAATGATTGCTTTAGATTTGAAGAGAATTTGATATAGCACAGATAAATTACATCCAAGGCTTCATCAGACATGGATTAAATTGTTCAGCTTCACTGAGTGGACTTGATTAACTGCAACCTTGGAGCTGGACATCACCTTCATGTGAGCACTGCAAGCCTACCTATTTCTGCTGGAGCCATCCCCGGAGATCCACAGGATGAAGGCCACTGAGGCTGCTCAGAAAGCAACTCGTTATGTGAAACAGGAAAGCAACACCCTCGGCAGCTCATAGGCCCCGAGGATGTGTCACCTGGTGGTCAAGAGCACATAAGAGTCAGAAAAGATCTTTACAAATATGAGCAGGCACTTATTTGGTTCGCAGGAGGCATTTGTCCCTCTTAGCAGGATGAGGTGCTTACCACCCCTAGCAGGACCCGGTGAGGACTGCTGAGTTAGGCCACAGGATTGTGTCACTAGAGCAGATGAGGGTTCTACTTCAGCTACAGCTTCTCCGGGCCAGGGGTGGTTTATGGTGCACCTTCAAGCTTCTGCTCCAGCACATCTCTGGTACCCTCACCTCTGAAGACAAGAGCAGTTTTGCTTTAAGTATACACTGGTAGATCAATCCTTTATATATTTCTGATAATATAATGCATGTGATCCGACCTGCAAGATATAGGGATTGTAACACTTTGATAAATCAGCATTTTACACAGCACATGCTGCTCCTGCGAGCTAACCCCAACTTCAGAGTTTGATAATTTCCAACATCATCGCTTTGAAGCACTGGAATGGTGCAATGTCAATGTATTGAGCTAGAACATATCTCTCAAAATAAGTATATAAGTACCATACAGTGCATCTGAAATTGATTTATTAAATAGTCACGACTTAAAGTCCTGATATATTAGCAAAAATAACTAGACCTTTAAAGCCAAGAAGCCCTTATGTTATAGTGAAAATCACTGATGTAGGAAAAGCTTCTCTTTCGATGACAGTGCAATCACACACACAGAAAAATACCACCGAAACGTTTCTCCTTTCCTGGGATAAAAAATAAAAAAAAAATTTTTGCAGCAGCTGCATGAAATGTTTCCTAGCAAAGTGCATTTTAATTTTCGGCTGCTGGCGATTTAACTTCATCTTGCTGCGTGAAACCGCCTGGTTCTTCACAAAGAAGATGCTACTGCTGCTAACGAACCCAAGCCCGCCGTCCTCCAGAGGGGTCCCGCAGGGAAGGGGAGAGAACCTCTTGTGAGGGAGCTGCTCTGGAGCATCTCCGTCGCCTGCTCCTGTTTTGCTTCCCAGGAAATGGGGAGACGGAGCCAGGGAACAGATGCGCTTTGCCCGCGGAGCTCGGCGGGGCTGCCCGGCACACACCGGCGCTGCCCCTCGGCGGTGAAGCACCACCCGGGCTGCCCGGGGATACCGGCTGGGACCCGCATCACCGCGCTGCGGATTTACCCCAACACCCACCCCAAATACAGCTGCTGTTTGTCAACTGATTTATTTCTAAATACAATTACTAACGCGCTCGGTTGTACCATTAAAAATAACATGGTTTTAATGGGAAAAAGCCGGGACCGCAGCCCGCTGGTGACGGCAGCAGCGCGGCTGTACCTACAGTTATGTCCGCGGCCATCCGGGACCCCGATCTAGCGCAGACAGAGATATGCATCTATATTTGGTCGGTATGATGGTATAGATCGCTATATGATTATCAAACCTTCACAGCAGTTCCCGGAGGGGGAGCCTCGCCTCAGCGCCGAGCAGCGGAGCGGTGAAAGGGCCCGACCGCGGTGTGGCTGGCAGAGGGCCCGGCTCCGGGACACGGACAGGGCAATGCGGGGCCGGTCAGGGTATCGATATCGCTATCGGTATCGGCACTTACGGGGCCGCGGCTCGGCCCTGCCGAGGACGCGGAGCTGCCGCCGCGCGGGAGCGGCGCCCTCTGACGGCAGCGGGAGGAAACGCAGCTGTGCGCGCCCCCGCCCTGCTCGGGGCCCGGCGAGGCGGGACCCGTCCCCAGCCCCAAGTCCTCCCGATGGGCGCCGCTTGTGCCGCGCCGTCCTGAGGCCGAAGTCATCAATTCACCTCCAGGGGAGGGGGAATCGGGAGTCCGGGAGGTGCGTCCGACCCCCGGAGCGGCACCGCGTCGGCCGAGCGCGCCCGGCCCGGCCCCACCGCCTGGCTCGGCTCTGCCCGAGCAGAGAGCCACCCGCTTCCACTCCCTCCCTCCCTCCCTCCCTCATCAAGAGCCCAATTTTGTCATTTGGAAACACTGATTATCTAATCACGCCACGCTGCCGAGCGTACTTGTCTGCCCAATTAGCTAGGACAATTATTAAGATTCGGAGGCCTAATTATGTCTCAATTTAATGCTGGCAAACTCACGGATAGAGCAGTAATTAAAATCCTCTCCTTGCCTTTGCCTTTAGGGCAGCGGCTGATGAGGACCTGTCAGGGGCTGCGCTGCACCGAACCAGCCAAGCGGATTGTGCAACATGACCCCGCATTGTTAAGTGTGTCAACATATTAACCTGAATTCCCTTCAGCTCCCATAATCACATCGGGTAGGAGGAAGAAAAGGGGCTAAAACATGAAGCATTTTATTAAAAAAACATAAATTCTTTTTAATTAATGCTGTAAGAGATCTGACGACGCTTGAGCTACCAAATGCTGCGAGTCATATAAGGCTGGTGCTTCTAATTACCCAGCAAAGGAGGGTTTGCTCTTCTCTGTTAGAAAGGCTTCCCTCTCCTCTCATTTAAAGAAAACGATCTTTCTTTTGGGTAGTGTGTTTTTTAAAAGCCAGCTAGTTGGCTCCCAGTGATGAAGTTGATTACCAGCTTTTTGTTTGATGATGGGACACAAGTGAATATTGACTTGCGTGAGAATCAAACAGACGACCGGAGGCATAAATAAAACAGTCAGGATTTAACACTTGAAAGAAGTTGATAAAGTTGAAAATTAAAAATCATAATATTGGGATAATTTCTAAATATTTATTTTTTTTGCGCAGCTCTCGAGTTTGATGGGAAGTCAGCGCCGAAACACCAACCAGAACTACAGTTATCCCCGGCGGCTGCGTTCCTGCTCCCATCATGGATGAGGAGCCCTGAGCCCAGCATCCCCCAGTGATGACCACTGCAGGAAGAAGGCTGGTCCTGCTGGATTTGCCAGCAGAAACATTCCCCTCTAGCATGTCCCTTTTGGGCTGGAAAAACACAGCGCCGTGTAAGGTGGTTCCTTCGTCTCCAGTTAGTGAGTTCTCCAGTGCTTGGGAGAAGTGGAAACAAACCTTAATTCCTGGAGCAGGGAAGGAAAGGAGGGATAGACGGCGCCTCATCTCCCACTGTGCGTGCCCTACATCTTGGCAATGGCCCTGCTCCCAGCCTCCTCAGATGGCAAACCGAAGTGTAAATCTGTGTTCTGGCTTGTTCCAGTGGCTGTCAGCATGTTTTCCTCTTGTCAGCAGCAATTGACTGGTCAGGTTCACCCTTGTACAGCGATTGTAACAGCTCATTGACAGACTAGTGACCCAGCCGGACCCGATAATGGAAAACTATTGATTTCTGTGGGCTCAGCAGATCTAAAATGAATGCCCAATATAATGTCATCAGCTGTCTTGGACTCAGATATCCTTTAACTTGTCTAAAGAGACCAAGTATCAGAGACGTGCTGCCTACCCTGACAATTTACTTGATAAAAATAATACCGGATACAAACAAACATTGAAAGTGGCCCCCTCACAAGCAACAAGCAATGAATGCCTGGGTAAAGGCTAAGAAGCCACAGCCTAGATGTGGTCAGGACTCCAACTGTCCCTTCAACCGAGGAGGCCCATGACAGCCCCTCTAGGTTTTGAACACAGAAGAATAAGCATGTAGGGGGGTGACACTAAACTCTGCACCCAGCCACCAGCCTCCAGAGAGCACATAAGGCAGGAGGCAGAAAGGCTGCTTGCCATAAGCAATACCAGATATGAGTTTAAACAGCAAGAGAAACAAGTGTGGCAGCTTCTGGGAAAATGTTTAACTTTGGGGGATAAAGCAGTAGTTCAAACACTGACTGTTTTGGTCTCCAGGAGCCAAAGCATGGCCCGTGCTTCCCAAGTAGATCATCCCACCTGTATGAAGCAGCTGTCACTTCTGTGTGCCTGTGGCTGATGGAGAGGGCTCAAACCTCATCAACACTTAGGCACATCAGGAAGTTGGTGGAACATTTACTAGCACAAGATCTATAGGAATCACAATTAGCCTGGTGCTGGTTTTCTGTGGGATACCAAGTGCTTGCTGGAGAAGTTTCACTGTGCCCCAAACCCCTTTGGTAGGGCTTGGAGCCTTCCAGAGCTTATTAACCAGGTTTCCTATAAGGAAAACAGAGGAGGAGGAGAAAACAGAGGTACCTACCCTGGCAGATGCCAGCACACATTTAATTCAAGCTCTAATACCAGTGGAGATTTGAACAGCTTTGTGATCCCCATGCAAAAATCCAAGTGACCTTGGGGAAACATTCCCTTTAATTATGAACAACTGGTCAGCTCTACCACAAAGATACCAGCCCTTCTTGAATGTTCTCATCTTTTGCAGCCTTCTGCTCAGTGCCTTCTCCCCATACGTGCCTCATACCCCTCGCATCATTGTTCTGTCCATGATATGCACACGCGTGTATTGTATCGCCTTTGCCTTCCTCTGACAACAGGCCCAGCACTGTGATGTGCTACATACACTCGTCAAGAGGGAATGACTGCATGGATTACGTTAACATGACTGCAGCTGAAGACATTTCAGTTTCTACATGCATTTCCTACACATTTCCTTGGCTCCCTCTCCTGCAGACGGCTCCGAACCCATCTCCCTCCACTCAAGCTTTTACTTCTATTTCAATTTCCATATGTTGCTTTCAAGCATTGCTCTTCTTGGCATCCCCTCAAGGCCTGATCCTGTGAGAGTGAGTATGCCGCACCAGAGCAAGGCTGTGAGAATTGGTGATTCCACTTTGGGTTTTGCTTTTTTAATGATCATCTTGCATTAAATGAAATGTAAACTCCTGCAGCCATTGCTTTGTTTATCCAAAACAACCCTCCCAAACATTTCCCATTAGCTAGAATGAGGAGCTGAAATTCCTCCTATCCGTCTCACAGAACCGTCACAGAAGAGTCTTTCAAAGCACCAGAACCTCTCGGGTGATGTTCAAACCCAGATGTCTTATCCCTGGAGAGGCTCACTTCAGTTATCAGTTCTTCTTCCTGCCCATTTCTTGGAATCCCAAATCTTGTGTTAAGCCAAGCGTAGAAAACATCTCCACACTATTCCCTGCCTCAGTACAATGAACATGTTCAGGCCTTTGGATAGCAAGTTCCTGAGGCAGGGATTATGCTCTGTAGTATTACTGTTGTCATATTTTCCCTGTTGCAATGTTCCATGTACATTTATGTCATTTATAAAATACAATTAACAGACATACTGTAATCCACAATGGCCCAAAGAAGGGAATAATAGAAGTAGAGTAACCATGTACACTTGCTTCCTACAACGATGCAGGCTGTGGTGACCCCCTCCCAACCAGCAGATGAGTAGTAGAAAAGAAACACAAGCCTAAGTATTTAAAAAGTATGGCAAAGCTGCCCATAGTTCCCTCTCACTTAACAGAGGCTTCCCAACAGGGTTCTGCTTCTCTCTGCCTGAAGATGTGGACCCCCTCTGTCCTCACAGCACACCTCTCCTCCTTCCAGTGAGTACCAACAACTAAGGCTTAGCACTGCTACAACCTGCTGGCTCACCCAGTCATCAAGGCAGTGCAAACACAGCCATCCAAAATGAGCCACTGGAAGGCTTGTACCAAGTCATTATTCTTACCTGAGAGAGACCACTCTGACTTGTATATAACTGCACTTCCCAAACATACGCACCGTGGGACTCGCTGACCCTTGGTTTCAGTGAAAGGCATCAATAGAATACAGACTGCCACATTTTTACTAGTTTCTAAATAAATGTAAATATGTATTTTATAGCATTCCATATTTCAATAGAGTGTGCACATACCTGCCTACTCTCAGGTCTGAGCCTCTTGTAGCACCTCAGTGTGTGTACACAGTGTGTACAACGCTGCTGTACTGGGAGTTACTGTCACTGGGAGGACTGTAGTTGACCAATATGGGCTGAGATTTTATAGGCAATTGTCCTCTGACAAAGCCCAAGTTGTGGGTTTTAACATTTACAAATAGGTTTGTGCAAATAATTGATTCTGCTGTAAAGCAACTGAATAAAACTAAAATGAAAAAAATACCCATGTTGAGAGAATCTGAAACATTTTCTGGTTTCCTTCACAGAAACAGAACAAATCCCCTTAATTTTGCAGTGAAGAAAGTGCTTTGTTTCATCCAAAATGTTGCATTTTGGGCACTTGCAACAGAAAATACCCCCTAACCCACAAAGGAAATAAGAGGCTGGATTCTCCACAGCTGCTGTCATTCCCTTTTTATCCACTAACCCAGTAATTAGGGCAGTGACCCAGGATGTGGGAGATCCATGTTCAATCCCTTCTCTGCCTGGAGGGATTTGAACCTCCATCTCTGAGGAGAGAATTAGAGCTGTGGTGCCGGGGGGGGGGCCCTTCTCTGCTGTCTCCCCTGTACAGGTACTTTGTGTACACACTATGTGTGACTCAGGAGCCCCATGTCACCCTGGCACTGCCCAGTTCTCAGCATTACTCCTCTACCTCTGCTCCACAATGATGCTGCGTGCCAGGTGGAGGGGTTTCAGTAGCTTAGATGACTCTCAGGTGCACTAAATGTTTAAGGTACATCCGTGATCAGATCACAGAGGTGATACCAGGTCTGGGTATCAATCCCATAAGGCAGAATGTGGGCCCTTCTTCCTATATACATATTGTAATGCCAGGGCTTTCCCCGAGGAAGTAAGCAATATGCTTGTAAGAGGGAAAAAAGGTCTAGTTCAGATAAAAATCGTATTTCTCTAAGCTGAAATCTCTTCCCACTTTTCTAACTACACTTTGCCACACTTTTCAATTACCCCCCTAAAGAATTTTTGTCTATTATTGCAAATTGCCTGGGATGTTAGGAAGGACTGATGTTAAGAAGGATTTCCTAATATGAACATACTACTTTCTTGGTCTCTATTTTGTACCTTTCTACCATAATTAGTTTCATAAACAGCTTACCTTAGCCCAGGAATTAGTTGTACCATATTGAACTGAACATGTCAAACCTTCAGCCTTGTGCATAGCTTTGCACACAGTAGTTCATTTGCATCATTTTCCTATCACCAGTGAGATCAGCCCACGTCCTTATTTTTAATTAGGAAATTTGGGCACCTCAGTGCTTCATTTTTGCCAATTTTTAAACTACTTTCATTATTTTAATAATGCTATTTAAAATTGTTTTCTAGTCCATATTTTTATTTAAAAGAATGAACTCCTTTACTCAGCATTTGCTCTCTTGTTTCTAGAAGGTAAATGAATTGTCTGGCACTTCTCATGAGTGGACTCTGATTACCGAAAGTCCACCATTTCTAGGTATTCCACA